GCTAGGGGTGGGCAAGAGGGAGAAGAGCCGGGAGAGGAAAGGGGGAGGAGGAAAATGTCCCGAAGGAACGGAGCAGAGTGAGCAGGGTGTTCGGGGACCGAGGACGAAGGGTGTTTCTTTGGGAATGGTTGTCATGTAGAGGTGTGTGCTGTGCATGTGTGAGGGCATGCACAGGCCTTACAGTATGGGGTGTGGGAGGGTGGTGTGCGCACATGTGCTGTGTGGTGGGGGCGGGGGAGCGCTGTGTATTCCAAGATGTGCGTAGGGCGAGCACAGAGAGCAGAGTCGCGCGTGAGGTGTCCGGGAGCGTGGAAGCGTGGCGTGTGCGCAGGAGAAGGTGTGTTACCTGGAGGTTTGTGAGGAGCATTGTACGGGCTTGGGGGTTGTGAATAGGGTGTGCCGGAGAACTGGTAGGGGGTTTCTCTCCAGGGATCAGCCACGGAGCAGGGCCCGGATGTTGTCTTGGGGACAACCTCGGGTGAGTTCAGCTCTGGGTCCAGTCCCGCCTCCAATCTGGCTGAAAATTTCCTCACACACAGGTGAATGAGTTCGTCCTGCGCTCAAGTGCGCACCGGGGAGTGCCGTGCTAGCTCAAATCCGGACTTGAACCCCTCAGGTCTCCCTCCGGCAGCCCCGCCCTGGCCCGCAGTCCCGGGTGTGGATGATTCAGGCCGCCTGCACAGCTTCCGAACCTCGGGAGAAGCGGGGTCCGGGCGCAGGGGTGGTGGGGGTGGCGGTGGAGACAACGCGCCTGCGCGCCGGCCTTTGGTACAGCAGGTTCCCAGGGACTTGCCTATTTATTGCTCAGGGACCCTCCCCAAATCAAGAGCTGTAACTGCCTGGGGAAGCCGCGCCCCTGTGTCCGCGGCAGCGTGGGGCTCTCGCCCACCCCTCCTAGAAGCCACTTGCTGGTGGGCGTATGGAGGCCTTCCAAAGACTCCCGGACGTTTGCGTGGGTTTCGCTTCTGCCCATAGCTTCAGAAAGAGCGAACCAGCCTCTGTATTTTTAGCAGGCAGAGCAGAATTTGAAACAGCATCCTACCGGCCCTGCGCCTGGTGAATGATGACTCGCCAGAAAGCCAAGACGAAACCCTGCCTCCGTGAGCTTGGCTTGTGGCCCAGGAGGCTCCGCGAGCCTGCGTAAGGATCGTGGCGCCCACGCTAGAGAGCAGAGCTCAGTGCAAACTTCCACTGGTTCTTCCAGTTTCCAGGGAAACGAGATTTGGAGCTGCTGCGAGTTGCAGAGCTGCCCCTTTGCTCCCCATAGAGGAGCCCTGCGATTGTCTGGGCTTGGGGAGACAGGGATCGAGGACACCTCCAAGAAGAATGAGTTCGACCTTAAGGTGGAAGAACTGAGCAGGGCTGTGGGGATTTCTTCTACCATCAGAGGACTCACAGTCTGTTCTGGGTTGCCTCTCCTCTAGATGGGCACTGCCAACTCTTTAACAATCTTTACATTTCTTAAAATTACCACAGGTCCCTTGTACATGAGGTTCCCACTCCAAGGGTAAATTCACACTCCACGGTGATCCTCACCTGACATTGCTTCTTCATTTCTCAAAATTTATTCTAATTTCCTTATTGCCTCAGTTTTGTCTGAAGCCTGTCTGTACCGAAAGCTTTCAAGAACTTTCTTTTATTCACTCCTCACAACAAGCGATGAGGTAGGTTCCCTATTATCCCCAGACGGGCTTTCCATGAATAAATCAGTAACTGCTAGGATTGGGTTCTGTGCACAGGCCATGCTCCTCCGGCTGCCTTCGGGACTCCAGCCCCTGCAGCGGATCCCCATAGTACAGGACTTCGCTGTAGTACAAATGTGAGTTCCCTATCAGGTGGCTAAGGGAGGTTCCACCCGCATCTTGGGATGGCTGTTTGAGCGTGTGTCTTTGATACACTAAACATTGATCTAGTTCTGCCTGAAGCATAGGTCCAGGAGCTGGCATGCAGGTGTCTCTTCAGCATTAGGAATAAGGGAAGTCGCTCAGCAAGAGCCTAACTGGGCAGCAGCAGCAGGGAGAGGGGAATTCCACTGAGAAGACTCTGTAAGCTCAGCCAATTCAGCTTTATTCTGAGGGCAGGGGCACCCCAAGATTGCAGGAGAGCAGCCTGGTGTGCATTGAGAAGGAGCTCTGCTGGAATTTGGGAGAGTTAGAGGAACTCCGAGAGCACTTGCAGTGTACTGGACCACTTACAATCACCCTGCAGTTTCTGCCCAGCATGGAGTCAGCAGACAGCAGGAGGGGCAATCTGGTTGACACTGAAACTAACCCATGCAGGATTTTAGAGCAGATTGAGTTGCTTTATGTCAGGATCCTTTCACCAAGGAAGAGCTCACCATGCTCTACTGTGAGCCCTCCTCAACCTCCACTTACAGTGCCTGTTTAACTTCTCATGCTTGCCAAGGAGGGTGCCCAGGGTAGTTATAGTCTAGTCAAGTGGCCTGCGGGGCTCACAGGCAGGAAGGAGAGCAACTCCAGAAAACACACACACACACACACACATACACACACACACACACACACACACACACACACACACACACACACGTCAGAGAAGAGTCACAACATCATCAGATACTGAGCAAGCTCCCATGGAGCCTGGGCAGGTCTGGCAGCCTCCTGGGGCAGTTATCACTGTCCCCCACCGAAAACAAGGAAGAGGCGCTAAGCCTGGAAAAGACACGGCAGAAATACAATGGCAACTATGGATTAAGTAATATTTTCCTATCGCCTTTGAATCTTACTTTAATATTTGCATGTTTGCTAGCATTTAAAATGGCACCTCCTAGAATATTGGTTCAATTAATTGAGCTCTTAAATTTTTCTACTCCACCACTTTAAAAAGTATTTTTGTTCTTTATAACCTATGTCTTAGTCCATTTTCTTTTGTTGTAACTGAATACATAACATTTACAAAGAACAGGTGTGTTCAGCTCATAGTTCCAGAGGTGCTTGCAACCGTGAAGCTCTTATGTTGTACTATAGCGTGGTGTGGGGCATCGTACTTCAGAGCAGCCAAAGAGTCCTTCCATGACAAAGCTACTCAACTAATTACATCCCAAAGGTCCCACCAAACCCCAGGAACCTATGACTTTGGGGTTGCATCTCTAGCTCATGAATTCTGAAGACAAGCATTCATATTTATTTCACCCACACACCCCCATTTTTCCGGGAATAGCCACGATTAACCTGTCACTTCAGTCAGGTAGTACAGGCATCTCTGGGCAAAACACCCTGTGAGTCTTCCAAAGAACTCATGAAACCATGACCATGAGTTTTCAGAGATGGACATAACAGTGTTTATTATTTTTGTCTATATTTTTGTAGTAAGTTTTTTAAATGTACATTGGTGTTTTGTCTGCATGTATGTCTGTGTGGGGGTGTCAGATTCCCTGGAACTGTAGTTACAGACAGTTGTGATCTGGCATTCAGGTGCTGGGAATTGAACCTTGGTTCTCTGGAAGTGGCTCTTAACCACTGAGCCATCTCTCCAGGTCCGTAGTGTTTATTATTTTAAAAGTTGTTTTGCCAGGCAGTGGTGGCTCACGCCTTAATCCCAGCACTCCGAAGGCAGAGGCAGGTGGATCTCTGAGTTCAAGGCCAGTCTGGTCTACAAAGTGAGTTCCAGGACAGACTCCAAAGCTACACAGAAAAACCCCATCTCAAAAAACCAAAAACCAAACCAAAACAAAAAGTTGTGTTTTGTGGAATACAATAACAGAAAATATTAAATATACATGTGACATCTTCATGACATTTAAAAAAGAATTTATCTAGCTTCATCCAAGATACAAGACTGAATGCCTGAGGGTGCAGCCCAGAGCCTTTCAGCCCACCAGATCTATCTTCCTGCACTTGCTTAGATGTTTGTTAGCAGGAATGCATTCCTAGCCATTATAGTTGGCTTGGCCTGGTTTTGTTTTTGTTTTATTGTTTATTTAACTTTGTACAGTGAATCACAGAGTTTGATTGTTCCTGTCTGGCTTCTTTTGTTCCATATATGTTTGTGAAGTGTGTCCATGATGCTGTACACAGCTATAGCCCAATCATTGCTGGTCATGAAGCCCTATAGCTATCCCATTTCACTGCAATAAGCATCATATTGTGTCCTGAATCATTGAGACCTGCAGTAAGTAACCCAAGAATTAAATTTCTGGGTTGTGAATAACACCGTCTTTACTTTTTTGCCCTCCTGGCACTGAGGTGCAATTTATGCACAATAAAAACCACTGATTTTAACTGTACAATTGCATGGGTTTGGACAATTACATACATTTATACAAGTGACCACCTCAAGACTCAGTACTGCCCCAGCTTCTGCAAAGGTTAGCCTCCTCAGCTTTTCCCCTACTCCAGGTCTGTGCACTGTAGGGAAAAAGCATGATTAGAGGTACCGCTGTTTCTCCCTACAGTGCACTATAATTTTTTGTTGTTGTTTGGATTTTTTTTTTAAGACGGGGGTTCTCTTTATAACCTGGGTGACCTGGAACTTGCTTGGTAGACCAGGCTGGCCTCGAACTCACAAAGATCTGCTTGCCTCTGCCTCCAAGTGCTGGGATTAAAGGTGTGCACCACCAATACCTAGCAATGTACTATAGTTTTTATTGCGTCATTTCCTATGCATAGACTCATGCAGTGAGCAATGTTTTCTGGCTTCAGTACCTTTCAGATTTGTCCATACTCTTGCATGAATCAATGGATTTTTGTTCTTATCATTAAATAGGATTCTACTAAAAGGTGTTTATTTTCAACATGATGGACCCTCCAGCTTTTCCTACAGGAGTGACTGAGATACTATTCAAAAGCAGTATCATGCAGATTGAAGTCATTATGAGTCCATTTCTGCCTCCTTGGGTGTGCAATGGGGGTGGGATTGCTGGGCTCCATCACACACTTATTTTTACCTTTAAAGAAACCAAAAGATTGTTTACCAGAGTAACTTTTCATTCCCCCATGCCATGTGTGTACATTCCAAGAGTCTGCATTCTTGGTAACCCAGGTTGACACCAACTTCCCTAGTATGTCTGCCAGTCTGGTGTCCATAGATAGCTTTTCACTGTGACTTTAGTTTGCACTGCCCAGTTATGACTGCTATCAACCTTTTCATTTGTCATTATATATATATATATTCATTATCAACATATATATAATGGATATATATATATATATATATATATATATATATATATATATATATTGATTATCAATAGTGAACAGAAATCATTGGCCTTTTGGATCCTCCTGTAATAACTCAAGTACATATCATACTTCATTCAGTCTGATCTCCTGAGAAGCTCATTAGCCACTCAACCTGTAAGTCCAGCGAGACACCCATGGCTTTCCCAGTGTAGGTCTAGATTTGTGCCACAGAATGGTCTTGTGGTCTCACTATGTTCATAGCTAGAGCTATGAACATAGGTGAGCAACTCACCTAAACCACATGCAGCAGCCTCCTCTTCTCTGTTTTTCTCTCTCTCTTGGTGAAGCTGGCAATGCCCAGGTAAAAATAAATTATATTAAAATATGGGTAACAGATACTTAGTGACCACTTTCAATTTTACCATGCTTTTCTGTTCACTCTTTTTAAAATTGTATTTATTTATGTATTTTCTGTATGAGTGTTCTATCTGCATGTACACTTGTATGCCAGAAGAGGGCATCAGACATCATTATGGAAGGTTGTGAGCTGCCATGTGGTTGCTGGGAATTGAACTCAGGACCTCCAGGACAGCAGCCAATGCTCTTAACCACTGAACCATCTCTCCAACCCTTTACCACACTTTTCTGTTACCTGTTTTCTGAAATTGCATCAAGCTAAGCAAAAATGTATATTCTGCTCTGTGTCTCCCAACCTCTTGCCCAGTAGCCCCAGGTGACAGCTTATGATTTACCATAGCAGCAAAATTTATACTATAGGAATTAACAAATGATGCAAATCTGACCGGGGCTGCTTATTTTGCTAACTTATAAGTTGAAGGGAAATGTGAATGATGCAGACTGGACTTAAAATGGATTGTGGCTGTAGCCATCATTTTAAGACCAGAGGCATTTCTTCAATAGTGTTTGGAAGTCATCACCCGTGCAGTAACAGTATGCACATTGTGTATCTCATCACCCGTGCAGTAACAGTATGCACATCGTGTATCTCATCACCCGTGCAGTAACAGTATGCACATTGCATATCTCATCACCCGTGCAGTAACAGTATGCACATTGCATATCTCATCTCTGATGAAAAGCATTCCAACATGATTCCCTCCTGTCCTCCCTAGAACTCATCAACTTATGTGAAAACAGCATTCAAATCAGAGCAGCACCCTCTTGTCAGTGACGGGAGCAAGCATTCTGCTGAGTCAGATGTAATCAGGGTTTATTCATGTCCCAATTTTGCAATACTGTTGTCAGTGACAGAGTTACAAAAACAGTGGATTTTGCAAGAAATAGCAAGTCACATTGAAGTCATAAATAAAAAGCATATAAATGCTTTCATTTGAAATGTTATTGCAAAACATATAAGAAAATGCTCTTTTTAGTTTGTATGGTTGCATGCATTTGTTCACTGTGTCCGTGCATTTGCATGTGGGATGTGGACTCAGAGGATAACTTGGAGCATTTGATTTTCTTCTTCCACCTTGTGTGTTCAGGGACCAAACTCAAGTCACCAGACTTTACCTGCTGAGCAATCTCACTGGCCTATTAAGTTGATAACAGAATTTTTATGTTAGCTCAAGCAGTGGCATGAATTTTAGTAAGATTGTAAAACTGTTTCTCATATTTTGAGCCACCAAATGCCAATAAAATAGTAATTTCTCACATTCTTTTCTATCTGAAACAAGTGAAAATGGATACAGGAAAGAATCTTGTGACTGTCAGTCCTGCAACTGCTCATTTTCTAAAGATTTTAGCAGACCACCAACATGTTCTGAGTGTCTGGGAATAGTAACCAGGAAACCATGGCTCCTACTTCTTGACACAGCTTTATGGGAGAGAGAGAAAACACTATTCAGATAACTAAGGGAATGGCATACTATAGGCTAAGGTCCAACGCATCAAGCATGGGGTACATGGAAAGTGACACTGCCTTCTCTGTCACCATTCACTCCTCTGAGGTTTACCACGCAGCCTCATAGTTGTAAGAAACACCTATATACTGATAACCCCCAAACTCATGGTTCACTTCAAACTTTCTCCTGGAGCCTCAGGCTGGATTCCAGCCTCTTATCTCCATTTGCCCTTTCAAGGCCTCATTCTAGCACATTGAGATTTTTGTATTTCTTCTTTAAAGAAAGTCAAGACGCACCCCAACTGCTGCACTCAGTTGAGAAAAGCTCATTCCTGCAGCTGCTTTGCTAAAACTGTAGAGCTGTTTTCACCGTCCATACCCAGGCCCTATCCAATAGCCACCAGCTCCTGTATTTCCCTTTCCCTCTGTGCCTAGAGTTGTCATCCTCAAGGATCCAGCCAACCTTCCATCAAGTAGACTTGGTTATTTGACCACTGAATCCCTGTTTGTTCACTAATTGTTCTCAGTGCCAATAATAGCATCTGGCATATAGTACATGGCCTGTGAATATTTGTGTAGATAATTTTTTTAAATTTACACAATTAAAATGTGAAGAACATGAACTATGAATTACCAGCCATAGTGATCTCTAGCGGTGCTTCTCAATCTGTGGCTTGCAACCCCTTTGGGTGTCGCATATCAAATATTCTGCATATAAGATATTTATATTACAATTCATAACAGTAGCAAAATCACAGCTATGAAGTAGCAACAAAAATAAATTTGTGTTGGGGGTCATCACAACATAAAGGATCTCAGTGTTAGGAAGGTTGACAACCACTGGTCTGTAGCTTGGAATGTTCTCAGGAGACTTGCTACACTTGAGTATGGGCCTAGGGTCTAGATCTCATTCTCAAATTGTGAGAGAACGTTAGGATGAACTCCATCAGGAAATTCTGTAACAAAATGTGTCATCTTAGAAAAACTTTCTGGTCATAAAGGCTTTGGTTCCAAGGCTTTCAGGAGTTCCCACCCCAAATATTCCCTTGTGGTCTGTCTTAGTCAATGTTCTATTGCTGTGAAGAGACACCATGACCATAGCAATTCTTATAAAGGAAAACATTTAAGTGGGGCTTAGAGTTTCAGAGGATAGTCCAATGTCATTATGGCAGGGGGTGCGATGGCATGCAGTTAGACATGGCACTGGAGAAGTAGCTGAGAGTTCTACATCCTGATCCATAAGGAGAAAGAGAGAGAGAGATAGAGAGAGGGAGGGAGGGAGGGAGGGAGGAAGGGAGGGAGGGAGGGAGGAAGACTTGGCAATGGTACATTTCCTCCAACAAGGCCACACTTACTTCAACAAGGCCGCACCTCCAATCCTTCTCCGATAGTGCCACTCCCTGGTGACTAAGCACTCAAATACCACCCTATGGTGACCATTCTTACTCTAAGCACCACATGGCCCAGGCTTGGGTGCCTAGGGCATTCCTGGTCTGATCTCAGACCAGCTAGTGAATGCCTGATGCCCTCCCACAAACCCTCCACTCCACCTCCATCCTTTGGGGCTGAGTCCCTTCAGCCACAAGTTGAATGCTGTAATTTAAGAGGACCTTGGAAGAGCTTCTGGTATTCTTTCTCTGTTGAGGTCAGGCCTCCTGCAATGTCTCAGAGAATCAACTCCTACTGCCTAGTCATTTGTCACTTGCCCTAGAGACCCTTCCCACTGAAAGACTGTCCCTGGGGGCCATATGCCCAGGAACCTTCCAAACCTCCTCTTCTTGTTACTTCTCATTCCTGGGCTCCAATAGCTCTGCCTGCCAAGAGCTACCTGAATAGGTACCTTTGTGTATTGTATGCCCTTGTTGAACCCCTCATGTGATGGACTCTGCAAAGAGAGGCACAGTGAGCTGTAGGTCCTACCTACCAAAAACAAGTTCATGGTTGCCCCTTGAAGGTTTCCACTCAGACCAGTCAGTTGTCCTGCCTAAACCCACCACAGTGGTCTCCCACGAGTCATGCAAATGCAGGCATAGTCATCCATTGGCTGTTGTCCTTAAACATGTACAGACCACTGTCTTTCTGTCCCCTGATCCAGGCTTCTCCCTGGATGCAGCCATGCTTCCCACACCTGCTTAACTAGGCCCTCATTCTCCAAAATGGATGGAGCCATGGGACATGTGAGCTTATCCTAGCACTGATGCCAACCCCAAATCAAATCCTATAATGAGTGCGACCAGGACAACAACCTTGGGGGACCACTGCTTCATCAGTCACAGGAGGAATTTGGGGAACAAAATATTATGTCCAGCCAGTACTATTGCCAATCCAGGGCCACGAAGGCCTGTGCAGCTCTGGATGCTCTCCTTGTCCCCAGACCCATGTAATAAATCATCAGGATGAGTCACAGCACTTCTGAGTAAGGCTAACATGGAAGGGCAAATTGTCCCAAGGAGCAAGGTCCTCTTGGATGGACCTCAGAGACTGTTACTGCCCACATGCCTTTGACAGTCTCCTCTGAGTCTAGCTGAAGCCCTTAATAGGGGTCCTTCTATGTCTCCTCGGACTTTGGTCTATGATACTACAAAGCCCAGGTAAGCCATATCATGGGCAGACAGTGCGGTCAGTTGTCCACATCTCAGCTATGGGATCCGGAATCTGTGGGCCCATCTCTCGAGAGAGACTTGCTATTCTTCATCTCCATCATGAAGACACAGCCAGACCACCTCTGCAGGAGCCTGCACTGATGCTACGCTACAAAGAATGAGAGAGACCCTTCTCTGCTTTGGTTTCCTTCAAAAATGGACCTGGCTCTATCGCCCACATGCTCCAGCCTCCCACCACTCCAACTAGGCTGGGCCTTGCTTCCCCCTGTGGAACTAAAGCAGGGTTCTTGTGTTTCCTGTGTTCATTTCCTCATTTGTAATCATGCTGCTGCTGCTCTCTACCACACTAACTCCTTATGCTCCTGAACTGCCAAAGCCAAGGCTGGACAGTCCTGGTGGAGCTGTTCTCCCTTAGCAGACAGAAGCAGCCCCGAACACCCAAGATCAAACCTTTGTGAAGGGCAAACAAGAGCACAGTGGCTGGACAATCACCCCAGATTTTCAAATAAACACTCACAGAGTTGCTCAGGGATGCTCACTGAAGTTGCATCTGAGACAGCAAATCACAAGCAGGCAGAGAACAATTACTGGTACAATGAAAGGAAGGACCCCTGCCAAGACAATAAGAGCAAAGGTGCCAGGGTCTCCGTCCCCTTGAAATAAAGCAAATGCTGCACAGAGAAGACAGCAAACCTGGTTTTCAAAAACCAGTCATTAAACATGGTAATACAGTAACTGAGTATCAAGAAGGTCAGCAACTTAAGAGTTGCCAGCAGTGGTGCCAACTGAGGAGTCGAGGCAGAGTCAAAAGACAGGATTGATCTCTGGGGACCAAACTAAATGTGTACAAGTTTGATTTTGTCAATTATACTTCAACACAACTGTCAAAACTGAATGCTGTACAATATTAAATATCAGCCAGAAGTGGCAAAGCTGTATCTAACAAATATCTCTAAGTAGATAAAAAATCATCAATATGGTTTAATCGTATACATGTGCTTAACCAGATATCAGTGAATGAATTTATGATAATGGTTAGACTAATGGAGGAGTGGCTGCATGAATTCATAGATAGATATGAAGTTAGATGTGAAAGGGGAGGCGTTGTCACCAGAACTAGAGTGGGGATTGGAAGTTAAAACTGTGCAAAGGTTGAAACCTTCAATGAGTTTGGCTTATAACAACCACAATTCTGTCTCCCTTTGGTTTTCTCTACATTTTTTTAAAGATTTTATTTATTTATTATGTATACAACATTCTGCTTCCATGTATATCTGCACACCAGAAGAGGGCACCAGATCTCATAATGGATGGTTGTGAGCCACCATGTGGTTGCTGGGAATTGAACTCAGGACCTCTGGAAGAGCAGTCAGTGCTCTTAACCTCTGAGTCATTTCTCCAGCCCCGGTTTTCTCTACATTTTGTAGTTAGAGGATAGTTGCAATAAATCCTTTTTCATTTTGGAACTACAGCTGTGGAAAAAATCCTATGTAGTTGTGATATCTCTGTGGACAAGAAATGAGGACAATGGCCCCATGCCATGACAATTAGAAGAAGCTTCTGGCTTTTTCCTAAATTCTTTCAACAATGCCACAGGTCAGTACCTTGAGGACAATTGCTGGGAAGAACTGACTTCTCACTATATATCAGTTTTGACAGAAGCGTTTTACCCAACCCCAGAGTCTGAGGTCTCTTTAATCAGACCTTGGTTTTCCTCACAGGAGGTGATTAAGCCAGGACATTCCTGCTTTTCAGGAAGCTCTTTTCTGGTCTTGGGTATTGTGGTGACTCTACAACTTTTGTCAGTGCTCAATGTTACTCTGGGTCCCCTACGTTTCTTAAACAAATGAGTGAGTTTCTTAAATAATGTTTCTTAGATGGGCTCTGCTCAGTTAAAGCCCAAATGTTCTACCCTCAAAGCCAGGGAGGCTCCCCAGCCCCCACATGAAACTCCGTGGTGGACAGGCAGCCTTCACCACAGAGACAGGACACTATCCCACAGGTCAACAGATGTACCAGGCACTCTGGCTACAGCCCTTTGGAAACGGGTTGTGTGTCACTGAGCCTGCACTAATATTGGAGCCACATTCTGACTTCTTGCTGTAGACAGCCATTCACTTCCCGACCTCACATAACAACCTGGCCCAGAGCAATGTTTCTCTACCAACAGACAGATGCCAGATTCATGTTCACCCTGAAAGGATATGAGCTGATGGCTCTGGGGTCAACTTGGGGTGGATGAAGAGTCAGATGACTCATGTGCCCACTAGGGCACACATGACCCAGATGACTCAGAGCATCAAAAACAGCAGCTTCCTAGTACTGACCAGTGGTGGCAGTAGGACTACAAAAATCCGTAACTCCAACATCTGCAGTCCACGTGACAGCTAACTGAACCATCCAATGGCTCATCTTATGGGGTTAGAGGCCACCCAGGGATACAAGCCTGGAAGAAATGGCTACTTCTAAATAAAGAAAGGTATCACCCACCTGGCCATACCGTGAGGAGGTAAGTATGTACACTTACAGACATAATCTAGACTCACCTGAGATAGGATAGTCTAGATTGACCTGCGAGCATGTCTGTGGAAGATTGTCTTGATTGTTAACTGATACATAAGACCCAGCCCACTGTGGGCAGCACCATCCTCTAGGCTGAACTCTGTAAGAGATAAGAAAACTAGGCCAGGTGTTGGTGGCACACACCTTTGATTCCAGCACTCAGGAGGCAGAGGCAGAGGCAGGCGGATCTCTGTGAGTTTGAGGCCAGCCTGGTCTACAGAGTGAGTGCCAGGATAGGCTCCAAAGCTACCCTGTCTTGAAAAAAAGAAGAGTTAAGAAAACTAGCAAACAGGCTTTATTCTCTCTCTACTCTTAACTGTGGATGTGGTGAGATTAGCTTCTTTAGTTTCTGTCTTGATTTCCCCCCAAATGATGACAGATTGTAACTTGGAATTGTAAGCTAAAATAACAACCCATTTCTCTCCTAAATTGCTTTTTGTCAATAAGCAAAAGATAGCTAGAAACAAGCCTGAGCTAAGACTGAGCATTCATAATTAATAATAAGTCTCTTTGTTGTGATTTGTGGACTGGTGGCCCAAGAAAGCCTGCTACAGTCATTATTAGCTGGGAAAATAAAATAAGAAGCCTAGACTAAGATGGACATGATGGCTCATGCCTGTAATCCAAGCACTTAGGGGACAGATACAGAGGTGTCTTGAGTTGGAGGCCACCCTGATCTACACAGCAAGACTATTGTCTCAAAAAGAAACCTAGCTGAAGGTCTGTTCATCTTGTCCCCACAGAAGGCCTATGTATTTGATCTGTCCCCTGTCTTCGTGCTATGGTTTTTCTTACCCTGCTCTCAGGATGTCATTCTGAGATGCATATTCTGTTCCTCTGCTCATAGACAGGATAGGACTTTGGTAGTGAGCTCTGATTTCTCCCCACTTCTATCTCTTGCCATTTTTTCCCTGACTGGTTAATTTTAATTCCAGAACATACTGCTCCTTGTCTAATTGTATCCTTTCCACAATTTGGTACAAGAAGCCAGATTCTCTTCCCGTAACAGCTGGTGATGACACATTCCTGTTCTAAATGACTCCCAGGATGTGTGACTCATTTTAAAATTCCACATTCTGATGAGTCAAAATTAATAGGAGACTGGTAAATGGAACAGTCTCACTCTCAGTAAGCATCCCCTGGTTGCATCTGTAGAGAAGTCACCTGGTGAGCCCAGTGGCACCTTGAGCATGCCTGTGTCTTACAGGTGCAGCTTCCAGGTGTACCTCCTGGGGTGCTTCTCACAGGTATATCTCATAAGGGCACCTCACAGGAGTTTCCTATGGGCTGCCTCACAGCTGTGCATCACAGAGGTGTGTTACAGATGTCTCACAGGTATGCCCCACAGGTTTCTGTTTGTGACTTTGTTGAGTCCACCCCAATCAGGAACCCCAAGGCGTCACTAGTAGATGTTTAAGGATGTGAGACAGGGAGGGGACAATCAGTGCATTGCCATTGCCTTGAGACATTTATGCAGAACTCCTATCAACAGGAGCTTAGGGCTCCTCTGGGGATTATTGGGTTCCCGACACCCCTAAACCAGTATTCCTACAGACTATGTAGTAGCACCACAGTGGATGTTGGATGTGTTAAGGTGAGTGAACTCGAAGCTAAATTTGTCCTGTGATCACTGCCGCTGCCTGTGGTTTCCACACCAGTGCGGCTTCCCTGTGGTAGTGGAACAGGGAGGGGGGTCTCAGAGTGGAACAAAGTGGCCTTGTAGACATTCCCTCTCACCCAGCAGAGATAACACGCCATGCCTGTTCCAAGCCATTCCAGGGTAATGCCAAGCAGGTGCCTGCTGCCCTGAGCCTAAACTCCACCCTGCAGTGTTTGTTCCTGTCCTGAAGTCCTGCCCTGAGTCCCCAGTCAGAACTCACTATTTTTAGGAAAAGAGAGAGACCTCCTAGCAGATCCCTGAAAGGAAGTTGTACAAGACTCAGCAGAGGCAGGAGTTTGTGGGTATAGGGCCCTGTTACAGTCAACTAATCCCAATGTATACACACAGCTGTGTGGTTAGTCAACCTCCCCTGCCAAGGAGACTGCAGGTGTCCGCACAAAGCCAGAGTTTTATGCCGGGAAATCATTAGATATGTGTACACCAAACATATACGTCGTCAGCTGGTGCAAAAAGTCAAAATTACATGCAAATTCTATACCCTTGTGGAAAGTATAGTGATAAATGGAAGAGGCAAAATGAGGAAACTCCCAGAGGCCCATGGTTTGATTTGGGTCTCACCTGGAATAATGGCCAGAAATCCTTGCAATTAATGCATCCTCCACTCTCATATCTGAGGTCAGGTTTGGTGCTGTTGTGATACATTGTTTGTACTGTAACAAATAAAGTTTGCAGGAAGATCCGAGGGTGGAGCTAGCCACTAGTTAACTATAGAAGTCAAGAGGTCTGTATAGAGAGAAATGAAGTGATATGGCTGTGTGGAGAGAGGAATATAAGCTGGGAGGAGACAGGAGCTCACTCTTTTTTGGCTGTGAAGCTGGCAAGGTGAGGTGTGGCTGTGGCTTGCTCCTTTGTCTCTCTGATCTTTCAGCATTTACCCCTATATCTAACTCCGGGTTTTTATTACTAAGAACAATTAGCATTTGTGCTACAGGGTGCTCTATGCCAGCTCACACAATGGACAGAGTTCTATGTCCATCAGCGCTCATGTGTTCTCATATCAGGCATGCACACCTGTGTAAAGCACCCATAGCCTCTGCAATGTGCTTAGTGCTTGGCACACAGGGCTGGCCTACAGCAGAGCATCTGGACACTGGAATTGAGTTTCCGAGGCACACTTCTTTTCATCACATCATGACTACCACAGAAGCCAACACCAGGGCACCTACTGACATCCAGAAGCACTAACCCTCACCCATACACAGGTTTTCAGGTCTGTAAATCAGTGCTCACAGCGCAGCTGTGGATGGGTACAGGTCAAGAATCTAGCAACACCAGTAAATATGCCTGAAAAGTAAGTTTCTGTGTCCAAGGAAGTAGAAAACACTTCCACCCATCTGGCTCACACAACACTCTGTGTAATTCCACTGTATCATATAAACTTTATGAACCCTGAGGCCAGGAAGGCACTAGTCCAGAATCCACACAGAGTTCATAGAGAGGACATGTGGGCCTGGGGCCTGTTGACTGGTAACATCAAAAAGGAAAGTCCTGGGTTTATGGTAGGCAGTTGTTCAGCTCCTGCCACTGATAATAACCACAAGGCTGCAGCATGATGCCACTCCAAAGCTGCGTTCTCCATAGCAGGTACAGCCCAAGCAAAGAAGTGAGGAGCAAACTTCTAACAAGGATTCTGGGGGCAACCTGCCTAAAATCCCTTTATCTCTTTCTTCTAGGCATGGACCCCTCCTTACACTCTCAGCCTCAGAAGGCAACTGCAGTTCAGGAAGGTCAATACTCACCACCCACCCAGGGTACCTGAGCACAGGAGGACCAGGGACTTCCTGCTGTACCAACCCAAATCCTTTGGCAGCTCTGCAAGCAAAGAGGGTTCATAGTCTGTGTTTTCGGAATTACCTCGTTTGGGATTCGATCTCAGGATCAGTTTCCCCAGAAGTGACTTGCCTTTCCTTAACTACCCATAGTTCCTGCAACAGACAGGACCCCCCTCCCCAGCTTAACTCTAAACCCCATTCCAAATATCCAGTTTTTTTTTTTTTTTTCAGGGGAACTGGGACTGCTGAACCTCTGAGACGAGAGAGGACCGGCCATGTCTGTGGTATGAGTCATCGGTCTCCCCTGGGCTCCCTAATCATCACTAAGAAAGACTTTGCTGACAACAGTGTTTGCAGATCCATGTGTACCTGGGAGTGGTGAAAGGCCGTGGGCACAGCAGCAGGGGCACCATGAGCCTCAGTGAGGAACAGGTACGAAGCTTCCTAGATGGGAACCCCACTTTCGTCCACCAATATTTTGGGAAGAAGCTGAGCCCTGAAAATGTGGCAGGGGCCTGTGAAGATGGTTTGCTGGTGGACTGTGGCAGCCTGCGAGAGCTGTGCCAGGTGGAAGAGAGTGCAGCACTGTTTGAACTGGTGCAGGACATGCAGGAGAGCATCAATATGGAACGTGTGGTCTTCAAGGTCCTGAGGCGTCTCTGCACCATCCTGCATGCTGACCGCTGCAGCCTCTTTATGTACCGCCAGCGCAATGGCATAGCCGAACTTGCCACACGGCTCTTCAGCGTGCAGCCACACAGCCTCCTGGAGGACTGCCTGGTGCCCCCTGACTCTGAGATCGTATTCCCACTGGATATTGGGATTGTGGGCCATGTGGCTCAGACCAAGAAGATGGTGAACGTGCCGGATGTGGCCGAGGTGGGTGTCCCCAGCCAGGGTGCAGAGGTATGCTCTGCCTCAGCATCCCAAGACTTCACGAGGACTTCAGGTGCAGGGACGAGGTTCTTTCTTGCAGCTCACCCTTCGCTGCCCCATCTTGTCACAGTGCCTAGCTTCCTGTGTTTCCCTTCCAGGATATGTTTTTTCACATTTACAGAAAAAAAAAAAAAAAGAGCTCAAAGGTGGCTTTAAAGGGTCCCTCCTCTCCTTTCTTATGTGGGACAGTTCACACAGCTGCTTCATTATCGAAGAAATGCTATTTATTTAAGAGTCACTTTTGTAGCCGGGGGTTGGTGGCACACGCCTTTAATCCCAGCACTCGGGAGGCAGAGGCAGGCAGATCTCTGTGAGTTCGAGGCCAGCCTGGTCTACAGAGCGAGTGCAGAGAGAGAGAAGAGAGAGAGAGAGAGAGAGAGAGAGAGAGAGCACAGTGAGGACCTAAGGTATCTTCAGTGATCATCAGGTGTGAAGCGTCTCCCCTGGGTGACAATAGTTGTCTGCATAGGGCTCTGAAGGGGCAGGTTAGGGCTGGTATAGAAGCCAGCAACCTCAGTCATGGCAGAAGCAGCTTTACTCACAAAGGGAGGGACCACACCAGTCCCTGGGATCCAGGAGAGGGTGGGAACGTAGTGACAGGAGATTCAGGGGACCAAATAGAAATGGACTTATTGACAGAGCCTTCATGGAAGCTGCTGGTCTGTAACAGGTTTAACAGGACAGAGCTGCCGTGGGCGGGAAGCACTGTGGATCTGGACACGCTGGGTGAGATACCCACTAGATAAAGGCAAAACAACAGCTAGGGAGGGCTCAGAGAAGGGTAAAAAAGTGAATTCCAGGGATCAGGGAACTTCACAAAAGAGTTGGGGGGCAGTCTCCCTCTTCCTGAATATTCCCCTCCAGTTTTTGTCCCTCTTTCTTCCTCAAGGGACCCAAGAAACCTCAGCACTTGCTGCATAGGTCAACCACATCTAGTTTGCACTCCCAGAGCGGGGAAGGTCCCCTCCTAGACAGATCCCCCAGGAGCAGTCACCACCCTCACTCCTGGCCAAGTAGGAAGGCTGGGCAGCAGTGTGCTGCAATCCTCTTACACTTATCTGTTATAAACAGGCAGCCTCCCAGTGACCTGAATCTGCAGGATTATCTTGGTCTTCACTTTGCTTCCTTTTTAAGAAATGGGTCATCCATGAGCCAAATGGAGCACAAATTACCAACAAAGCAAGAAATTTGGTATAGAGGGGAGGCCGGGACAGGATATTAATATTCCAGTGCTCACGATCTACCCATCCTTCCTTATTTTCTCACCTTTCCGTCTCTCTATCCTCCGTCTGTCTTTCCTTCATTCCCACGCTTCCCTCTCCTCCCTCTGTCCCACCCACCTTCAGGCAATCCTCAAAGCATTGCCTCCACATAGCCCTGAGTCTGGGACAGGTTGTCTCCTCCTCCTTCCCCCATCCACACCAGAATAATGGTGTTGCTCTGAGGGTCAGTTCAAATTGCAGGGCTGTCCTATACCCATGCCTACCCACATCCTACAGCCTCTCTCCAGTGTTTCTAGTCACTTCTGAGGCCTACATATACACCCTTGGTGGCAGGAACTGCATGCCGTCTAGTATGATGGTTCAGTAAACTTCAGGTTTACTGGTTTGAATTGATCCCAGACTGGAGGAAAGGGAAAAATAGTCAAAGTCAGGAAAATCCAGATTTCTGTTAGCTGCATCAGGACACTCTCCATTGCTAAGGATGGGATTCTGGGTTTGTACTGGTTTTCAGCAAAAATCACTGAGACAGCACACATTTGGTGCCTTCCTTGCAAACGGTGAACCACATGGAGGACCTTTGTGGATTGTAGTGTTGTTCTATAGTGTGGAACACAGAACAAGACGGGACTGATACAAAATTTTAGTTACACATTGGTACTCACTACACCTGGACATACTTGTCTCCAATTCAGAGTTGATGTGGTTAAACCAGACTTCTAAGCATAAGTAGACCCTGAGCATACGTAGATACTGAACACATTTAAACCTGAGCACAGCTAGAACCTGGGTGCAGGTATACCATGAGTATAGGAATATTTCGAGTACCCAAGGATCATGAGCAAAGGAATATCACCATAACAAGGAGACCATGAGCACAGGTAGGCCATGAGCACATGTGTGCTATCAGTATAAATGCTTCATTGGTAGAACTATACCATGAGCACAGACAGAATGTGATCATAAAACAACACAGATAAACTCTGCCTAGAACAAGGGTTAGCAAGTATGGGAAACTGGCTCCCCGAGCCATGAGTGTCCATGTTCTTGGCACTGAGGGTATTGGACTGCTAATGGTTCTGATGTGATTACTATCTCTGAAGCCTCAGCTTCCTGCCTGCTTCTAACTAGAAGCACATCCTTGGATGAGGCTCTGTGGAGGAAAAGGTCTGCTTGAGGCTCTGCTTACATATCTAACCTGTGGAGAACCTACCTCTGAGTACAGAACCTGAATCCATGGCCTGGGACTATCTGCCCCAGGACCCTATAACTGCGTATGAGTGTCATAGCTTCCCCAAGAACAGAGGCTAAAACACGAATGATGGATATTCCATTAGGTCTCTTTCTAGTAACCAGTTTAGAACTGAATGAGGTCTCATACTCCAAAACCATACATCCAAAAGCCCAAAAGACCAGAAGAGAGATGCTGGGTTCTCTGTCTACCCCTCAAAATGCAGAGTCCAACAAAACAGTAATGATCAGCTGCCCTGCCTAACTGTGTTCTGGAGAAGTCTGTCAGCAGGAAGGAGGCCATGACTGCACACATGATGTCAATCCAAAATATTCACCAAAGAATAATGATGTTTATTTGACAATAGCAAACCATTGCAATGGGAACCCATATGCCCTGACAAACTATTAATGTGTTCAAGGAGGTTAAGGCAAGGGGTAGATTTCAAAGACAAAAGAGAAAAAATTATAAGTTGCTCCATACAAAGTTCATTGGTCTTAGGAATAAGAGGCAAGATCTGGCAGCAGTAGAGATACCCATGCTGGACAGGTACTCTGTTCAGAGTGTCTTAAAGGAATTGTTTCGATCTTGGCAACTATTAGAGACAAACATTGGGCAGATTTGGTGGGGCACGAATTTAATTCCAGAACTGTGGAGGCAGAGGCAGTTGGATCTCTGTGAATTAAAAGCCAGTCTGGTTCCAGACTAGGCGGGGTTATATAGTGATACCCTGTCTCAAAAAAAGACAAACTTTTCTGTAGAAATCTATGCATGCATTGGGAATGGAAAGCTTGGCAGAAGAAATCCCTCTGGGGTCTTTGGAAAGTCCTTAAGAAAGTGCTTATCTCAGAGAAGCAAGCATGAGTGTCCCCTCCATGTCCTATCACTTTCTCCTGAATCCAATTATTTCTTGGATCTGACAAGAATTGTTTAATCCTTTGATCATTAATTTATATATTTCTCCCTTTTAAAAAAAGATTTTATTTATTTATTATGTATACAACATTATGCTTCCATGTATTTCTGCACACCAGAAGAGGGCACCAGATTTCATAACGGATGATTGTGAGCCACCATGTGGTTGCTGGGAATTGAACTCAGGACCTCTGGAAGAGCAGTCAGCACTCTTAACCTCTGAGCCATCTCTCCAGCCCATATTTCTCCCTTTTTAAGATATATTTATTTATTATGTATACAGGATTCTGCCTGCATGTATATGTATGCCTGCCTGAAGAGAGCACCAGATCTTGTTATAGATGGCTGTCAGCCTCCATGTGGTTTCTGGGAATTGAACTCAGAACCTCTGGAAGAGCAGCCAGTGCTCTTAACCTCTAAGCCAGTTCTCCAGCCCCTATATTTCTCCCGTTGATCAAGAATATTCTTCAAAATCATTGCTGATCAACTACCATGCAACTACCATGCATTGTATCCATGATGCTGAGAGGGGCCTGTACTGATTGTCTGCATGCGTGGGTGTGTTGCTTGGCTGCTGAGGAAAAGAGATGAACAGCCAGAAATGAAGTGTCAAGACCCTTTCAGTCATATTTAGCTAACACGAAGCCAGAAGGCAGGGCCCTCAGGACTGGTCCCTTGAATTTTGTCACTAAGCTTCACCTCATCGGGTGCTGGCTATCATCTCAGGGCACTGGAACAACTGTCATTTTGTTAGGAGATGGACTTTTAGCCATTGACAAATTATTGACAAATAGCAGGCACAATTTTAAAGGAAGCAATACAAAGTATTGTTAACAATAATATAACAATCTCAGTTTTCATGTTTTGTCAAGAAAGGCTTATCTGTTTATTTTATTTTATTTTTTGGTTTTTCAAGACAGGGTTTCTCTGCATAGCCTTGGCTGTCCTAGACTTGCTCTGTAGATCATGCTGGCCTCAAAACTGCCTCTGCCTACTGAGTGTTGGATTAAAGGCATGCACCACCACCACCTGGCAATTTTTTAAATAGGATAAAATATAATAAGATGAAACAAATAGGAGTAGGAAAAAAACAGTTAAACAAGAAAAAGAGCCATAGGCAAAAACACAAGAATACATATAGATGCAGAGGGTTACACATTTGCACACACAGGAACCCATAAAAACACAAAACTGGAAGCCATCATATATACGCAAAGGACCTTCAAGATTAAAAAAAAGAGTCCTGACAATATTATGAAACAAAGAACCTCCAAAGGCACTGTGTAGTTTGTTTTCTGTTGGCCTTCTACTGCAGGGCATGGGGCCCACCCTTAAGAGTGGTTTGTTCCCCCAGTGAGACTCTCTTAGAGAAAACTAAAACAAAATTTTCATTTGTAGGTAGCTATCAGTTGGAGATAGCTTCTGGGTTGGGATGGGGACGTGTGTCTGCTTGTTCTTTTAGTTCTAGAACTCCATCTATTTGGAGCGGACCCATACAGGCCCTGTACATGCTGACACGGTGTCTGTGAGCTCACACCTGTGCCAGCCCTACTATGTCTAGAAGGCCTTGATTCTTT